CGATAAGTACAAGCAAAGGATCTAAAAAATATATGTAGAAAACAACAGAGAACATCAGCTACGTTATCACTTTGAAATGATAATTACAGCAATGGGAAAACGAAAAACTTTGCAATTGTGCTGAGTGCATTCTAAATTTAACCCAGGATCTGCGGTAAACTGGATAAATAATCTTAAATCGAGTGAACCGGAACTCGTAACGATAAAACAAAATAATTATTTATCGTGCACAATTGCTACAAATGCTCTTTGCTGATACTGTTACGATCAACAATGACAGGATTAGGTATAATGAGAAGCAAGAAATTATGAATTCAGAGCAATTTTTGCTTTAAGTTGTCAGGGTGACACAAAGAGACATAAACTAGGTAGTTTCATTCTATTTTCTGCACCTGATTCAGTTACACAACCCTGCAACTTGATAACGTGTGGATGAGGCTCGAGTTTCTTCAGGACTTCAAGCTCTGACAGCAAATCTTTCCTCTCTATGTCTGTAGCGTTACCTAAAGAAAAGATCGACTATTCAGTAACAGTAAAGCCTTATCTTAACTAAAACGCTCTTTAGGCAATGAATAGAGTACCTTTCAGCATTTTTATGGCAACTGTAATTGTCTCCTTTCTTCCTCGAAGGTTTGAAGCTTTTCCCTGGGCGACTTGACCAAAGGCACCTTTTCCAATAATCTTTTCAAATGTTACATTTTCTCTTTCCACTTCCCATGAGCGCGTTCCTGGGTGCAGGGGTGCATATTCGTTTATTTCTAAATAACTTCGCTCTGGGTCCGTGGCAGGATCATTCAGTGGTCTAACTTCATTCAGGTCCATGTAATTTCCGGGAGCATGATGCACCACGGTGCTAAGGTTCCCATTGCTACTTTCCAGTTCAATTCCCTCTTTCTGTTTTCCAGCGAAAAGAGATTCACACTTAGTCTGGCCTGTTTTGTCCCCATACGAATTGGCTACGAGTAAGGAAGATGTCTCGTATTTCTTAGGGAAGAATCATGCAAAATTTAATGGGTGCATTCTCCAGTCCATGGAATTGTACATTTTTTTTCATTTTAATTCACTCGTTTTGCGACCAGAATAAAGGAGAATCACACGCAACCGTTACCTTTCTTATGACAATGAGATAAGTTTAGAGAATTCTTGAATATTATGATGTCATCCACTAAACTGAACGCCTTTTCTGAGAGCACTTGTGAATCAGTACTAAGAAGATTTGACTCGTAAATACAGCTGCAATTTCTTGAAATAAGGGCAAAAGGTTGGTAAAGCGCACTTCAATGAACCTTGAAATCCAAACTTAATTTGTATAATAAGTAATAGACTAATAAAAAACTCATCTTCCTTTTGTTACTTCCTATGTAACACCATTTCTATACAACTGATTCACGGTATTCAAGTCCCAAGGGCCTTGAAAAAATTGAAGGTATGCATGCTTTGCTTTAACTTTCAGCATTTAATTACCAAACAGATAGTTGGTGATCATCACAAAGTAGATTATTCGATAAAAATGCACCCCATACTTACAACGTGAGGCGTACGTGACTCCTTAAGGACTGTATTAGGTCTAAAAGAAAATCAAAACTAATAGTTTCTAGGAAACTGACTAAACCTCACCAACAAAATCCCTTTCTTGTTTTTTTTTTTTTGTTTTTTTGTTTTTTTTGGAAATATCAACTGACACATTTTGAGAACAACTGAGAAACT